GGATGGACAGAAGACCTACAGTACATCCACACTAATTGAGAAACAGCTAGTTATCCAAAGCTTCAACATAGTGAAGAAGCTACTTTCACAACTTGAGATAGACCAATTCCACATTACAACCTGGACTCAAGCAGACCTGGAAAAACAACTGGATGTGCAGCCAACACCTAAAACTGGAATGTCACTGCTACCCCCTCCATTACAGAGCATAGCAGCTGATATGAGGCATAAGATCATGGATAAACTAGCTACAGTCAACCCTCGAGACTGATTACCAAGGCTCAGTGGAAAAGTACCATTGGATAGTATGGTAGAAGATGCCAATAGTGCCCTCCAAACAATCCCTACTACCACCATAATTCAAACCAATGAACTGGTATATGCTACAGCTGCTGTAATCCTGGAAATGCTTGACTACATGATCAAGAAGAACAGCAGTACACACACACACAGCCCTGGAAAATGAGATTGGAAGCTAAGATCAAGGCAACTTGTAGAGAAGTCAGTCAGCTGGTGGAACTACAGAAGAGTGTGGAGATTAAGGATAAGACCCGGTTACTGAAAAAATATATGGGCCTGACTCCGTCTGAAGCCCTAGAGACTGCTAAACAAAGGCTCACAGCACTGGCTGCCAGGCTAAGGAGATACACTACAGAAGCAGATAGATAGATAGATAGATAGATAGATAGATAGATAGATAGATAGATAGATAGATAAATAGATAAAGAAGATAAATGCCCTGTTGTCCAAAGAACCATCCAAAGTATACTCCCAACTGCAGGGCAACCACACAGTAACAGCAGAGTCACCAGCAGCAGAAACTGAACAGTATTGGAAGAACATAAGGGAAAAAGAGAAAACACAAAACACCAAAAAAAAGCAAAGTGGCTGCAGGACCTGAAAGCAGACCACAATCATCTCCCAGAACAGGAACCAGTCACCATCAGAGTACCTACATGAACGCCTAGCAGCACAGATGAACCAGCTGTTAGCAGCAGGCTCCCACCCAGACTGGCTAATACAAGGAGGGACAGTGCTGATCATGAAAGACCCTCACAAGGGAACAGCACCATCCAAGTACCGGCCAATAACCTGCCTTCCCACAAAGTGGAAAGTTCTATCAGGCATCATAGCCACCAAGCTACAAGACATATGGGTCTTGTACATGTGCATAGCTCAGAAGGGAATTGGGAACAACACCAGAGGCTTAAAACACCAGTTGCTCATAGATAGAGCAGTCGCCCGAGACTCAAGTTCTAAGCAGGCCAATCTGAGCACAGCCTGGATTGACTACAGGAAAGCCTATGACACAATGCCACACACATGGATCTGTGAATGCCTGGCGCTATACAAGGTCAACAGGACAGTAAGGACTTTCTTCAAGAACTCAATGGGACTGTGGAAGACAACACTGGAAGTCAACTCAAGACAGCTCGCACAAGT